TCCATCTGGCATGTGCCCTTCCTCTCTTCCTACTTCCTTCCACCTTTCTTAGAATTATTGTCTTTTCCAAAGAGTTTCCCCTTCTCATGATGTGTCTGAAGTACGACAGTCTCCGTTTGGTCATCTTGGCTTCCAGGGAGGTTTCCGGTTCGATCTGTTCTATGACCCACTTGTTTGTCCTTTGGGCTATCCATGGGATCTATCCTCAACACTCTTCTCCAGAACCACATTATCTCAGATGCATTGATTTTCTTCCTATCATCTTTCTTAACTGTCCAGCTCTCACATACATTAACATTTATATGAGTGTTTTTAGCTCAGGGTGACCAAATGCCCCCATTTTTCCTCCATTTCAACCTTCTGTCCAGCAGGAATTCCAAAGTGTCCTCCATTTTGAGCAGGACCAAGCAGCAGGGATTTACATTATTGTGAGTGTTTTGAGCTTTTCTTTCATCCTGTCCTCCCTTTTTCTTTAGTGTCTCACATTTTGCGGTGCCATGTCCTCATTTGAGGTGAGGACATCTGGTCACCCTGAACAAGTGCCTGGCCAGGAGGGGAGCCCAGGTGGCCCTAGCAGGTGCGGGGTCCCTGGCAATGGCAAGAGATGCACCTCTGGAGTTCAGTTTGGGTCAAAAGAGGTCTGGCAAGGGATGGTGCAGACAGGAAAGACCAAGGCTGCTGCTGGGCGTCAACTGGGCATTTCTCCTCCAGGGTTACATAAGGATGGTGAGGTTGCAGGTGGTGAGACCAATCTGGGTTTTGGAGCATTTGGGGGGCCTTAACAGATTAGAGTGATCAGATGCCATAACTGCAAAAGAGGATAAGGCACCTCAAAATGAAGGACATTCCAGAAACATGGAGGACATGACCAAATAAAACCAAACAAAAAATCATATACACACCAATTCATTGCATATGGTTTATTTACAGCTATATTGCAGATACTGTATTTTATTCTGGACTCAGCCATATTTTTCCAAAATGAAATCTTCATTAAAATGCCTTTCTAGCTTTCAATATGCTTATACTGAGCAAGACAAAGGCTTAAAATTGGACTTTACTAGCAACAAACCCTTGGCTGAATCTACATTTTAAATTATTTATTGTCTTGCACAATACTTAACAGAACTCTGCACAAGACCAAGGCTTTACAAACTCTTGACTCAATCTATATGTTTTTCCTTTTCATTTGTCCATTGTGGTAAAATTAAGGGGGAAAGCCTCTTTCAACATTTGCTTTGTGTCCATAAGCAGCCCATTGCCTAACACATTTGTTGTCCTTTTTCCCTCCAGCCCTGGGCTTCGGGTGTGAGTCTTGTCTGCTGCTGCTCCTAAGAAAAAATAACTTGAGAAGGATCCATCCTGCCCCCGTTTGCAGCAAAGACAGGCTGCCAAGTAGACAAATTTCTCAAAGGTTAACAACAGACGAGGTGCTACTTAATGGGCTTCTTAGTCCTGCTCAAAATGGAGGACATTTTGGAGGTCCTCCTGTACAAAAAGTTGAAATGTAGGGTGTGTCCTGGAAAAAGAGGACATCTGTTCACCCTGAATCCAGTGCATGTTTCTCGTATGAGACTTACTCCCCATCAAACTTCACAAGGAAGAGCCTTTGGGTAGAGCTGACTTACTTCTGATAAGTTTAAATTGTATTCTATTTTTAAATCAATTATCTTTTTAATATTGTAATAGTTTGATACCATTTTAATTGTCAGTTTTTTAAGTTTTTAATTGTACTGTGTTTTTTAGACTGTAAGCTGCTTTGGCTCCCAATCTTGGGAGAAAAGTGGGATAAAAATAAATACGATGATATAATGATGATGATTCCTGTGGATCTTCTCCAGAAACTGTTGATATCATGCCTTCCTTCCCCAAATTGTTGTCATCCCAGCAAAAGGCTTAGGGGACACCTCACCCCCTACCAGTATTGCTACACTAGCTGGGGATGATGAATGGTTTAATCTGACACATTTTGGGCTGTACCTAGGAAAATGTACAAGCAGAGGAAAGGTTGTAATGGCACTGACCATCCATCCATCCACCTGTTTTTATCTTTGGCATTTAATGTGGAAGTGTGGAAATGCCCGAGGATAACATTAAGTATGTGCTAAATTCTTCCAGACCATTCCAGGGAGCAGGTAAGGCAGGCCGAAGCAAAAGAATGGGATTAAAAAATGCCAGCACATTTAACTTTAAAGTTTAGCCTACTATTCATAGATGGATAATAAAAGAGACATGGGTAGAGGCCATAAAAAGTCTGTGTAACTAACAAAGAATAGTATCATGAAGTATAGGGCATGGCTACTTGGGGAAGCCCAGAAAAACTAGATTAAGGTTTCTGGAGAGAGAGATCCACCACCCCACTCTCTTCACTCTCATTTTGCCTTGCTCTCACCCTGACTGTAACAAATCTTGCCGTGTCCATTTCTCATTCTCATTCCATTACACAAGGAGTTATGCAGGCATAAGTTGGACTTAAACTTACAAAGGCATAAATCCAGTTTGCACCTGCATAACTTACTTTTTTATTATTACAGAGGCTGAAATTTTCTACTAACAACACAATCACTAAACTCCCTTACCCAAACCCACCGTTTACATTAATGCATCCCCTACTGACTATTGGAGACTGAGAAGCAGAGCAGCATCGAATTATCTTTGTAAAGGCAGCAGAGTGTAGTGGTTTGAGTGTTGGACTCTGATTCTGGGGACCAGGGTTCAAATTCCTGTTCAGCCATGGAAGCCCACTAAGGGGGGGTTGCAGACTGCCAGAAATAGTGCAAATTGAGTCCACTTTTGGGTTAGGGTTAGGGTTAGGGTTAGGGTTAGGGTTAGGGTTAGGGAATCATGGGAACTGTATTTTATTGTGGCACCAGAGTTCTCTGACAGAGAAAGCTCAATGTCTCAGAAAAATAACAATTCCCATGATTCCCTAGCACTAACCCTAACCCTAAAAGTGGACTCAGTTCACAGTATTTTTGGCAGTCTGCAACCCCCCCTAAGTGACCTTGGGCAAGTCCCATTCTCTGAGCTTAAGGGAAGGCAATGGCAAACCACCTCCAAACAAATCTTGTCTAGAAAACTCCATGATCAGTTTGCCTTAGGGCTGCCATAAGTTGGAAACAACCTGAAGGCATACAACACACATCGATGGCATCATCTACTGGGTCCTCCGGAGGATGCCCTGGAAGTCACAGAAGATTCCTGTTGCTGTGTATGTCATAGTTTCACCTATGTGGAACTTTACATTGTCTTTTCTGACCCAGGATCTCCTCTTGATTTTTCAATTCACAAAAATAGCTTGGTGGCAAGATTACCTGTATTGCAAGTGCAACAGTTGTTCATTCAAAGGCAGGCCTTATGTCAGCTAGAGGAACACAGTATTGATAAGTCTGGATAAGTGTTAGATTTAGCACAGGGGTGGGCAAAGTTCAGCCCATGGACCACATGCAACCCTTCAGGTTGTTTTTATGGTTCCTAAGGCTCAACTATTTTTATTTTTATTTTGCAGGAGAATTCCCACAAATGACCTCTAGAGGTTGTGGAGGTCATTTCTACCCCTGGACTCCCCAGGAGCCAAAACAATTTTTTTTTTGCAAAATTTTCCAAAAAAAAGTATCCCACATCAAAATGACCCAAAATGCCCTCTAAATGCTCCCAAATTTGGTGAGAATGATCCTATGTTCCCTAGATGGCATTTGGGGGCAAGAAATTATTATTAATTTTTGCAGGAAAAGGTATAAAGCATGTGGCATTCCAAGGGAGTTAATGGAGACTAATGTGTTTTGCCACAGTTAAAGGCTTCATTCTGCCAATGGACTTCACGGTATCCTAAATATCCTCTGAAACACAGCGAATGGCAGAAGAAGAAGACAGCCCTCTCCTCTGGTTCATGTATTTTAAAACTACTTCCATGATACTAACCATTTTCTCCCTTAAGAATTATTATATGCTTGACCAGGCAAACCCAAAATTCTCTCACACTGTAGTTGCATTCTCCCGCCTGTCAATCAAGACCTTTCTCTACAGCACAAAAATGAGGGTTTTTCATTACATCTGTGTTTGTCAAAGAACATGAAGCAAGAGATTCCAGTGGCTGCAGAGCAGTGTGATGCTGAGGTTATGTAAGTTTGTCTAAGAATAGGACCTGTTTAGACCAGTTGATTAGCTTTCTGTTTCTGAGTCTGGGTCTTCCACTGTTTTATATTGAATTTATTACAACCATTGTATTTTAACTCTAAGCAACTCTAACCCTGGGTACTGGACCATTGACGTAGCTCAGGGATTATGCTCCTAATCCTTGTCCCCAGCTGTTAGATAGCCCATAAATCAGAGCTGACCTCTGAGCACATTGAGGTAGCAGTTGAATCAGCAGATGCTATGAGTGTCATGGAACCTGCCTTATCCTCATCAGTGGAAGATGCTTTCTTATTATTTATGCGGAAGATTCACCTGGTTGTCTTTTACACAAAGAAGAAAGAAGATTTGCCTTTTGCCTCATGCAACAAATTGCCTTAAATCAACTAAGAGAAAAGTAGAAGGTACAGACTGGACCCCTTGCCTGCTGTAGTCTAAATGGCTTGCTTGCTGCACTTGAGCACATAGGAAGATGCCTAATACTGAGCCACACAGTGACCTAAATCCAAACGTTAGTCCCATTAGAGTAAAAGCAATGAATCAATTGCTAAAAAGTAAGTCACCATTTAGAGAACCAGTGTGGGGTAATGGTTTGAACATTGGACTACTATGGGGACCAGGGTTTGAATCCCCGTTCATCCATGGAAACCCACTGGGTGACCTTGTGCACATTCTCAGCCACAGAGGAAGGCAAGGCAAAGCTCCTCTACAAATTTTGCCAAGAAAACCCTGTGATAGGTTTGCTTGGGGTTGCCATACTTGAAAACAACTTGACGGCACACAACAACTACAAGTCAACACTTATGTGAATCTTATTATTTATTCTGATGGTCAGCTGTTTTCCAGGATTTCAAACTAAAGTTTTTCCCAACCCAACCTCAACATTTTCCTCAACTATCAACCACAAGCCAAGATCCCTTCCTTGGACAGTTGCTGCCAGTGTAAACATGAAGCTGGGGTTTTTTATTTTTTATTTACACCAATGGAAAGACTTTGTATTTGCTTATTCTGAACCACATTTCATTTTAATAACCCATTTCACCAGTCTGGAGAGATCCTTTTAGAGCTATCCCTTTTTGTTCTACTACTCTGAATATATTGTTATAAGCAAATTTGGCCACTTCCCCACACAGCCCAAACATCAAATTGTTCATGAACTTTATATACTTATTACATATTTTGGTTGCTCATTTAACTGTCTAATTTTTAATTTGATCAATGAAACTCATGTTGTGATACTTGATGGCCTTTTATTAAATACTGTAATTTAAACAGTAACAGGTACATCAACAATATGCAGCACCCTTTATCCTCATTCTTTACTGTGAAAATTCTTCCTAGACTAAACAAAGACAAATAGCTTTATAGCAACTAGTATACTCTCAAAAACTTTAGTTTTGTCTGGTGTTATTTTCTTTTGTGTGTATGTGATTAATGTCTCTTTTCTTTTATATTTTATATAACACTGTTCCTTTTTATGTTTTCTGTAACATTATATGGACTGACTGACAGAACACCTAATAAAGCTGTTTAATTTTTTTTAAATGGTCAGAATACTGCTACTTTGTAGATCTTTCAAAACAAGAAACATAAATGAGGCGCAGATGGTGTTTTTTCCAGTTTATTATTACAGTGACTACACTTATTTGTAGATCTTGCTAGATACAAATTGTTTTAGAAAATTGCTCCCTTCATATGTGTCTAATGAAGAATATGTACTCTTGAATGCTTGAGTTTTAATGCAACAGCTGGACAGACCACTAAGAGGTTTCTTACTTGTGGATTTTAATGGATGTTTGAATTTTCACCAGTGAAAATACATTTGATAATGAAAATACAGTTCAGTAAACTGATTACATTATATTCAATGAAGCTGCAACAGTTCCTTTTGCCTGTATAACACAGGTCCAAAACACACTGCAGAAATAATCCAGTTTGAGACTACTGTAACTGCCCTGGCTTAGTGCTAGGGGATCTTGGGAATTGTAGCTAATATTAGTACCAGAGCTCTAACAGAGAAGGATAAATGTCTCACAAAACTACAGTTCCCAGAATTCCCTAGAATTGAGCCAGGGCAGTTAAAGCGGTCTTAAACTGGATTATTTCTGTAGTGTGTTTTGGACCACAGATTTATTCTTTCTTTTTTTCTTTTTTTAAGAAGAAACCTTAACAGTATGATTACAATCAGACTGGGCAGAACCATCCTAAGTGGGACAGAATGAAGTGGCTTATTTGTTGTTTTATGTCTTCAAGCCAACTCCAATTTATGATGAACCTATCATAGCATTTTCATGGCAAGACATATTCTGAGGTGGTTTGCATTCTTTCATTGCATTTCCATCACTGAGCAGGGGGATTCCTGGTCTCCTGGAGTCATTATTCAACACTCAAACCCCTGCACCACACTGGCTCCTGAAATGGCTTGTACCAGCCACAAAAGGTGGAGGGGAGCTTTATTTCTTTTATTTGATAATTCCCCCACCCCAGCTGATTTGAAGAGCAGGGGCCCAGTCTTGGGATCTCTCAGGAAAATTAAACAATCTTAGATCCAGTGGATCCAGAGGCTGACTGTGACTCACCTGTTTTCTCAAGACCCAAAGTTTGGAAAAAAAAAATACTGTTGGAGACTTCAACTCCCATAATATATGCCCAGCATGGCTACTAGTCATTCTCACTAGGGGATCCTGGGATCTATAGTCCAAAAAAGCTCTGTCCAAGCCCTGGCTGGGAGATGGATTGTTCCCCTTAATATCTCCCAACACACACACACACACTTGCATTAAAACCCTTTTGTCCCTACACAGTGATAATTTCTTTGTCAGGATTTCAGAAAGGTGTATAGCTCTTCCTGACAATCACAGGAATTGAACCTAGGACATTTTGCTTGCAAAGCATGTGCTCTCCCAGATCTCTTTCCAAATTTTGTGTTATCAGAGGAGATACAAGGAATGTTTGTAGGGCTCAACAAATGTCATCCTGTCTCACTGTATAGGCCTTTTTGTATAGGAGAACTTTGCCTTCTGTTACTTGGTTATCATTTTCCTGTGTAGCATCAACAAGAAAGAAAACAAATCTCCAGGCCAAAGGAGCAACAGAGATAGAGCAGAGGGGACAAATTGGCTCATCATTTCAGCAACAACAATCGTGAAGATCTTTTATCTTGGGGGTGGGAAGCATTATGATTTAGGGGGCAGAACAGAAACAAGTGTCAGCTCCCAGAGCCCATCCGGAGGGGAACAGGACTTTTTCAGGATAGAGGTTGGGAGTGAACGCCACTTGCTCACCCATTCTTAAGCACTTTAAGTAGTGACCAATCCTTTGTTTTAAATGCAATTTGCCACCTATTTCAAAAACAGTTAGGATGAAATGATACTCTTCCACATCTACCACATGTAAATCTAAGTACTTTCTATGATTCTATGACTTTCAGCTTTGGGCACCTGCTGCCCAAGCTGACAAAAACTCCTTCTGCTGTCACAGTGTTAGATTTTAGGGTAATGTAAGGCTCCTGAATTTTTGTTTGTTTGTTCACAACAGAGTAAAAACTGAAGATGGTTCCTCTACCTTTAACGGTTATATAAAAGGGGAATTTCAGCAAGT